AAAGATGTCAGTGGTGGTTTGAAATGAGTTGAATCATAGAGGCAACCATATGAGATACTTCTGACGTATTTGGAAAGATTCTGTCGTTGAGACAGAGTCCTTGGTTATCGTACAGTATACAACTATCCCCCTAGGGGAAGGTGATTAGTGGTAAATATCGATATCTATCTTACCTGAGAAAAAAGCATATAACCCTCTTCTGACCTAGCGCTATGCATCGGCCATGGGGGAATAGCCCATTTACAGTTACAAGTGCAAACGCGATTGACCTGCACCCATCCAAACCTCTTATCGGCGCGTGCAAACGATGCTGGAGTTGACCTTGTTTTGATACAACCCTTCCTACTTTATTATGTAAATCACGTTGTTGTTACGCTCCTAATTATTGTTTTTTCAGCAAAGTTTCCATAAAAAAAGAAGGAGGTTTGTGTCAAAACAAGGTCAACCTCAGCCTCACGTCCACTCAAAAGCTAGGATACTAAGCCCACAACTTTAAAATGGTCTATAGTCGTTTGACTATTTACCCAACCCTTTTTGGATAAAATGAACAAGTAACTTTCATAAACTAATGACGTTGATTCGGGGAGTTGTTGAGTGCATTTTGACGATTGTGTCGCGATGTCAAAACGAAACATATAAGCAAAAAATGTTCACAAGTAATGTACAGGCCGTTTCTATGCAACCTATCGTTATATCGCTCCTTACTTTTTACTGAATGCAACTTGTGGTACAAACTATAGTCTGCGATGCTGGCGTATTTTTGAGCAGGTGAAAGCTGCCTTCTTTATATTCGTATCCCTGTGGCCACCATGTACGGGATATTGTGGTGAGCAGGAATAGAGGGACGAGGAAAGAAGAAGACGGGCGAGGGGGGAAAGAATTCTCCCATCCTTCTTGCCCGCTTTGATTTTCCCCAACTCTTCGACGTTTTTCTCAATATAGCGGTTACACTAGCAGAAAGATTCGGGCACTCAAAGAAAACTCATGAGAATGTAAATTTTGATTATAACATAACAAAAGTAAATCGCGCGCTCTGATTGGTCAGTTAGCCACTACCATTTGCCCGTGGGCGCACGCCAAGAAACTGAGCTAGCGCGGAAAAATTTAGGCAAATTCAACAAATCTCCTCTCCTGACGGTAAAATACACCGATGAAATGCACAGATGAAAAGTGGAAGTTGAAGAAAATACTAAGCTGTCNTATTGTGGTGAGCAGGAATAGAGGGACGAGGAAAGAAGAAGACGGGCGAGGGGGGAAAGAATTCTCCCATCCTTCTTGCCCGCTTTGATTTTCCCCAACTCTTCGACGTTTTTCTCAATATAGCGGTTACACTAGCAGAAAGATTCGGGCACTCAAAGAAAACTCATGAGAATGTAAATTTTGATTATAACATAACAAAAGTAAATCGCGCGCTCTGATTGGTCAGTTAGCCACTACCATTTGCCCGTGGGCGCACGCCAAGAAACTGAGCTAGCGCGGAAAAATTTAGGCAAATTCAACAAATCTCCTCTCCTGACGGTAAAATACACCGATGAAATGCACAGATGAAAAGTGGAAGTTGAAGAAAATACTAAGCTGTCGTTTTGAAGGAAAAAAAGGCAAAAGATCAAGCCACAAATTTGCCCCGGATGAATTAATCACTGTTTTCCTCGCGGCTAGAATCGGCTGAAGGAAAATCGACCGAGCGAAGATTTAAGGTACAGTTTGTGTGTTTTTTATAGAAGAGGAAGTCTGTTTGAAATGTAAATTTATCAATTAGCGTTGTGTTATTGACTTTTTGGTCAAGCTGATGCTAAATTCAAGCAAATATTTTAGGAAACACGCTCAAATTCGAGACAGCTTTGTTGTGAAGTTTTCATCCCATCGATTAAAAATTTTAGTTGAGTTTAAACGGGCACATTACGCTGGAATAAGCGAATTTCATTTGAGTACAGAAACATTTGGGTTTTCAAATAAATTTTTCAAAACATAACTTCTGTGTGTATTATTTTGGTCCTCAGTGTTCATTCATAACAGTCGTTCAGAGATCGGTCAAAAAACAACAGCTTCAGCACCGGTTGTATGTCGGCGAATTTCAGTTGCAACTGAGCTTTGACTTTCATAGCTGGATTTCCCCAGACAGATTTCGATACAAAGCTAGTTAATTTCTTTTGAAAATTAGTGTTAACTGTTATTCTTAAGGAATTACAGTCAAATTTTCTCATTTCTACTTTACGTTTATTTCAAAAATTGTCACATAAATAAGCTTGATAGTTTTCATTTATTTAGTTTTAGCTTATTTTTTAGTCCTTTTAGTTGGTGTTTATAGTTGCAGCTATAGATTTCCCTCAAAGTTTTTACCCTAATATTAAGAGAAAGTAGACAGATTCAAAAACGTTTTGCAATTTACCTGACGACGGAGAACGGTTGATTCAGCGAAAGAAAAACTTAAAGGCAAGTTTCTGAAAAACGTAGAACATGATTTGTTTACGCGTGGGCAGATGGCAGCATACATGAACTCGTACCGATGACTCAACCGAAGGCAAATGGAAAATAATGTATTTCTCTTTTGATTATGTTATAAAAGAAATGGTAAACGTTGCAGCTGTGCAACCATGGAGTTATGGATGCACTTGGGAGGTTTGCTAAGCACTCAAGAAGCTAGAGTCGCACTCGGCTATCGCCTCGTGCGACTCTTACGCTTCTTTCGTGCTTAGCAACCTCCCGCGTGCATCCATAACTCCATGGTTGCACGCTGCACGTTTACCATTTCTTAATTTGTTCTCGTATAGTGTTCAGCCCAGCTTCCTTCCACTGGTGAAAGTAGCTACAGTATCAACACGTCTGGTGGACATGCCAGTATTGGTGACCACAGTGTAACAAATGTGGGAACAGCAACACCAAGGTGACGTATACCAAATATTATTTATTGTTTAATGACCGTTGCGCTACGTTAGTAGATTATAAGAAACTGTTCTTTAATACTGTAATCGGTAAAGGACCCTATACAATCAAAGCCCTCGTAAGGGACCAACTTGGTATGTTTTGCGGGTTTATAGCAGGAGCCCATAAAACGGATAGAGCAATGTCCATGTACTTGTGTCTCGGCGTATATTTCAGAACGATTGTGACGCGAATTGAGAATATGACTCAAACAAGTCAGCTGAATTTTTTTTTTTTATACCTTTAAATGACGCTCTGTTTTGCATATTCATGCCTTATATACTTCAAATGAATGCGTTTTTATAAAGAGTGCAGCTTCCAATTTTGCGGAAAAACTGCTTTAAAATTCTATCTAAAGATAAGCCGGTCCGTGAAAACGCTGGAAAGTTCTTGGTCACAACCTTCGACTTAAGAATCGTAAAAAAGGAGCTTGTCATAACGGTTTTTATGTAGTCACAGAGTGTTCATGTTCTATATTGTAATTAGCATTCTGTTCACTTGTTTATATCTTTCAGAACTCCAAGTACTGCGGAAAGTATCGAATCTCCGTTTGGGTTTCCGGAGAGTAGGAGTGGTACAAACCCCGTGACTGCTAACTCAGGAAACCCTACAGAAAGTGAAAATATCTCAAATACCGCTGAAATACCTACGGCAGTTCCTGAAGTGGGCAATGTCGGATCTTCCGAGCAGATTGCAGTTGCTACTGGTTCTCGCGGAACATTGTCCGGCAGTCCTGTTCCAGAGACAAAAAACTCAGGAACTTCCCCTGGAGATTCAACCGATGTTAATGTCCCTGAAAAATTAGCTGTGAGCGTTCCTGAAGCAGGCAGCGCAGAATCTTCAGAGCAGATTGCAGTTGCGACTGGTTCTTGCGTAGCATTGTGCAGTTCTGTTCCTGAGACAAAAAACTCAGGAAGTACCTCTGGAAACTCAGCCGATGTTCAGAACGTCTCTGAAAAATTACCTGCGAGTGTTCCTGAAGAAGGCAGTGTGCGATCCATCTCGGAAAAGGAAAATGCTGTCAAGGATCTTGGAACATTGTCCTACCCTGTGACTGAAAGTAATCATCCTAAAACTCCCACGAAAAATTCAACTGACGCTGCTGATAGCTCTGGGAGATTGCCATATCCGATTCCTGAAGAAAATAATTAAAAAACCGGAATTGGGCGAATTAGAAAGGGCTGTTTGCACTTCTCGCACTGAAACTACAGCAACTACCGCAGGTAGTCAGGATGCCGCCTTGTCAAGTATTGAAGGTTCAGTAAACTGTAGCAGTTCAAAGAGGTGCACAGCACTGTCTAGAATTGGGAAAAAGTTAAACCACAGAAAAGCGTCTGAGGAAAGTAGAGCAACTGCTCATTTACAGAAGCAGCCTACATGTAGAGATGAAAAGAAAACTGCTTCAGCTTCGTCAGCAATGCAGGGACCTTCAAGTAAGCCTTGTTCATTTGTCTGGGTACTTTACACCGTTGTGTAAGTTAGTACAACACCTTAGAGGGTCATCTCTTCGATGTATATTTTTGGCAGTACTGTGATATTAGACGAGCATTCTTTGCACAGGGGTTGGGGTGAGTAAGCCTACCTTCCATGTGGTAGCGGACCGTTCATAGCCTAGCATGCCTAGCAGGTGTCGAAAATGGAGGGGGATTGGGGAGAGAGGCACCTTCTTTTTTCCCTTTTGTGCTTTCCCCCCCCTCTCTCTCCCCTTTTTGCGCCTACCCGACACGCAGGCTATTCTTTAAGAGGTAACCTCCTACGCAGATGTTCTTAGCGCTTCTTCATCCGGTGGAACTCGTGACGAAGTCCTTAGAACGTCTGCGTACGTGGCTTATTACCCCAGTATCAGCTATAGTGGAACTGCCCACCTACCCCTCCCTTAAGGCCAACATTCTGCCCCAAGTGAGAAGTAAGTTTTAATGTTGGTTTAGGGTGGAGGTAGGTGGGCAGTTTCCAATAAACTTATAATGATCCGTAATAGTAAAATATATGAAAAAGAACCTCGATATATCGAAACCTCTGTGTAGCGAACCAATTTTGCCGGTCCCTTGGCCGTTCGTTATGTCTAGGTTCCACTGCAGCAAAATTCCTACGGGCAGGGAGCAAACAAACTAATTTTGGAATCGGCTTATCCTATTTTCTTTTGCGTTAGATAACATCAAACTGCCTTTAGCAAGGAATACCATTCCACCTACAAATAGAGCTGATGAACTAAGCAATAGACTACTTGGACAGTGTAGTATTTCGGGGCCGCCACCAGATCACACTTTTGCGGCAGCATCCAATGTAGCTGGTGAATTCAAGAATTCAACCGCACCTTCAAGGGGAAGTTCGTCGAAAGAAGCGCAACACAGAAAAGAAATATTTGTGAGAGGTGACTCCTTTCCCGACAGTGATGTTTTGGTAAACCAAGATCAGAGGTAGATAACAGAATCAAAGCAAACAACGAGAGTTGTCGGACACAGCTATCAACACAGAGTTGGTGATGGTGTGGGTAGCTGTAACGAGAACAGAAGTGAAACAGCACAGAATGAAAATAGTTGTGTTGTACCAATTGATTCCGATCCTGGGGAAGACACAAAGGGAAAGGAAAGGTGCGATAATGATTGTAAGATCATGTGATCTTGTAAGGTGATTAACAGCGCATTTTGTCTAACTCTAAGCAAATAAAAAGTAGACGTTAAGTCAAAGCGGCGATTTCCAGAGGATGACACAAGGCGCTTTCTGCTAAAAGTCTATCGTATATGGATCATTTGGATAACCACGACCAATGAACATCGACTAAAAGACTGCATCCTTTAAAGGTGGACATCGGTTTGTGTCTACACAGTAGTGAAGTGGGCATCTCACAGGTGGACTTCTCTAAGTAAGAGCTCCCATGATTGGTCCAATATCGTGTGGACATATTGACTCTTGACCAATGACAGGGCGGCAAATTGAGAGCCAAAAGTCCCGTCCAGTTCTTTCCGCGAGCTTTCCCGTCGTCAACTGACGGTCTCGTTCTGTTGCTAAATCAGCCTAATAGCTTCTTTTGGGCAGTTGAGAGAAATACTTCTAAAAATTCTTCAGTTTCGAATACATTGAATTCTATTTGTAAAAGTGTTATCAACAAGCCTTTCGTCATTCAGGGTGTGTGAGGTGTTGTTTTTACAGAGAAACGTTGTTAGCTTCGTGCCATTTCAGTATAATTTGATGTTGGCATTTTGTTGAGTAAATGAGGACATGACGTTGTTTACCTGTGACCTGTGTGCTTAAAGATCGGAAAGCTTCAGCGCTGTTATGTACAGGTGTTTATAAAAGGAAGTATCCTGAAAATATTTCAGAAATTTGAATGGTAAAATTTAAGTGGTTTTGTCTAGGCTATTTTTAAGCTTAAGCGCTTTATAAAAAAGATAGATGGCGTTATAAATAAGTAAGGGCTTTTTGTAGGAACCTGCAAAAGTCAATGTGAAGTTTATTATTATTTAAAAAGAGTAGATATTTTTATTTAAGTAGGTTGGCGCTTATTCTATGGCTGACTGGGATATTTGCATAGGTTATACCCTGTTCATAAGATATGTTCCAAAAAAGGTGACGACGAAGCAAACTGTCTTAACCATGGGAAAAGAAGATAAATTTGCTTGAATTTTAAACAACAGGATACGTAACAACTTTTTACATTGAAAGCTGTTTAACTTCAAATTGGTGTGATTTTAATTGTTACAAATTAGGGGTACCAAACTTAGTAATGGCTTGCTCGCAAAAAAAGTTAGATATCTTACTGTTTTTGGTTAGTTTTTTCGAACACGGACTAAGAAATTTATATTGTCTCTCTCATACAAGAAAAGTACCGGCATGAAAATGAATGGTTGGATGAATTTTTTAAGCACTTAAAGTGCATCATATGATTTAATGTGCTGTGTTTCTCGGTATAAAGACAAAGTCTTGTCAATAAATCAGTTAATTAGCTTTAATTTATGTTATCTTTGCTTGCTAAAGTTGAATGTGGAACTTGTTCTGGAATGTCATTCATCGATCGCGGACGACTCCCCTTAACTTTTACGAGCTTTAGTTAATTTAATACAGTCCCGTTCACATCAAGAATGCAGTTCTGATACCTATAAAATGGGACCATTCAAGACGAAAGCTGTGTTTTACGAATTTTTTTCTTTGACAAATTTGAACCTATGCGTGAATTCTATAACCCGAATATTTAAAATTCACATGAGACGGAGACCTGGGACGCAAAGAAAAAGCCGGGTAGAAGTAAAATATTCGCCAGCGGGCCCGGTTCCTCGAAAGATGGTTAAGTTTAATCTTAAACCAAACTTTAAGCAAGGTTTTCTTGTCTAAGAACATGCGACTCGAGTTTACAAAATGCTATTAAGCCTTTACTACGAGATACAGTAATAATTACACAAAATGTTACTCTAAGCAACACATAGGAAGGTAAAATACAAAAACGGAACAAAACTTTAATCCTGGATTAGCGCTAATCGGCCTTCAGGAACCGGACCCAGGAGCCAGAAAGGTTAAGGCCACGTTCACAGGACCCGGGTATTTCTGAAACCCAGAGGTTTTTTTTTTTTTTTTACCTGAATCAGCCTTCGGTTCACACGAAACCAAAGAATCCGCTCACCGAAACCGCATCTTTTTCAAACGGCTTTTCAGGGTAGTGTAAGGCACCGTCTACACAAATCCGGGTATAAGAAATGAAACAGACTTAAAATGTCCGGATTCGTGTGGATCGGTTCTAATTTTTTAGTACGGGTGCGTTTGATTGGGAAATCTGGATTTAGATTTTGAAATCGGGATTTCGGATTTGCAATCGAACGCGAAATTCGAAAACGGATTTTAACGCTGAGAACAGCGGTCTTGCACGCGCACGCATAATTAACAAAAAAAACACCGCAGTTCACGAGAACAGTTTTGCAAATCCTTTTTCGGATTTCCCATCGAACGGTAAAAAGGAAATCCATGAAATCCGGATTTGGATTTCTTAATTGAAATCCACCCCGAGGACAGACTTCTCGGAGGTGAAATTCGGATTTCGTGTTCGATTGCAAAATCCGAAATCCGGATTTCCTAATAGAACGCAACCTAGATAGGTTTTAACCGAATCTCTTACCGAAGAGTAACGATGGTTCTACATTTTGCGTTTATATCTGAAGTCCTATTTGACAATTCAGAAGTACCTTTCTTTGGTGTCGTTTAGGCTACGTCCACAAGGATTCCTAAATTTTTGAAACCGCTTCCCTTTCACACGAATCAGCCTTCCGACCACTCGAGCTTAACCCTTAACCCTTTAAACTCTAAGATCAAAATTTGAATTCTCATTTGTTGCCCCTATTCATTTCCTCAGAAGTAGTGGGGAGAAGAGGATAAAATATCAAGTAAATTCATTTCGTGTGATCATGTCCGTAATTCTCACGACCACTCTGTCTTACAAAGCATTAATATTACAAGGGGAAATTTGATGCTAATCACTCTTATATTAAAGGGTTAGAAGCAACTACTACGGCGGCGGCTACCAAAACGTCACCTAACCAGTGAATTCGCGTTGTTTCAAACTTTATCGGGTCTATTTCACCTCGTTCAATTCGACAAATGCTGGCGACATTTGCTGGAGATGGATTCTAAAGGACTGCATGGAAGTTCAGGAAAAGGAAAAGAAAGTTGTTGTCTTGTGTTCACGTCTTCCCCAAAACGTGAACATGAGATCAATAATCTTGAAACTAAAAGGTCATATAAAAGGAAGGTTAATCTCAAGAATCTTAGTTTTTTAAAAAAATCTATCGAGCGGTTTAAAAATTATTCGCTGATTTGTTAAAGTAGACCAAAATGTGCAAAAATACGCTAACAAGAGCGCCTCGATACATACTAATCAAATCCTTCTTTCTACAATCGACTGGAGCTATCTCCTTGATCTTTCACATACGTTTTTAAAAGATTGAAACTACTATGAGGTGAAATTGCATGTCAAAAGCGCTTCGTTTTCTACAGATAACAGCCGAACACCGAGATTGTCTATTTTTCACCGTATTTCTAACCACAAAAACTTTATCCCAAAATATTTCGATAACGCTCTTACAGATTTCGCTTAAACTTCACGAACATCGAGGCTGCTATTGGAGGAAAAAGCTCCCGTGAATGATTTTCGAAGAACAGTTCCCAGTGCCGAGATATACTGCTGCAAGTAAAATAGGTAATAGCGTCATTTCGTTGCTGTGACAACTCCGATGCCGTTGCAACCCTGATCATAACAAATTTTCATCTTCGTCTAATACAACTGTGGTGGCAATTTTTCCAAAACTTTGTTTCTGGCGACGTAGTTTCTGCTCAAACTTGGGAGGTATTGACCCTGAAAAACTGTATCGAGCCACCTTAAGGTATATACTTTGATTGGCGCACGTATNTTTCTAACCACAAAAACTTTATCCCAAAATATTTCGATAACGCTCTTACAGATTTCGCTTAAACTTCACGAACATCGAGGCTGCTATTGGAGGAAAAAGCTCCCGTGAATGATTTTCGAAGAACAGTTCCCAGTGCCGAGATATACTGCTGCAAGTAAAATAGGTAATAGCGTCATTTCGTTGCTGTGACAACTCCGATGCCGTTGCAACCCTGATCATAACAAATTTTCATCTTCGTCTAATACAACTGTGGTGGCAATTTTTCCAAAACTTTGTTTCTGGCGACGTAGTTTCTGCTCAAACTTGGGAGGTATTGACCCTGAAAAACTGTATCGAGCCACCTTAAGGTATATACTTTGATTGGCGCACGTATCCTGGCACACATCTCTGAGATAATCCTAAAATATTCAATCGGATACAAATTCACTTATATCAGTGTTCAAAATCTCCGCACGCGCGACTAAACTGGGACGTTCTATTTCGGCTTCACGCCCGTGCGTGTAAATGGCAAAATTAAAACAACCCGTCGGACCATGTGATCCGAAAGAATATTCTCTTATATAAACCTCGCCTTAATGTTAGAGAATGAAGGAGTTTATCATCAGATATGGAAAAGCTTGCCTTAAAATTAAAATACCTTCTCCTGAGCCCTGACTGATGCCATTCGTACCTCCACCTCTACTATATAGAAAGCCAAGCGGCCAGTTGGCTCTGTCGCTTTGGTTTCCGTGTTGAGGAAGTTTGACGGTAATTACATACCGAGACTGAGGTTGTCACATGACACCCGAAAGGGTAACTAAGGGGTTTGTCTAGTTGTTTTTTAGCGGGAAACGATGTTGATTTGAGAATGAAAGAAATAAGGCTGTCGATAAGGCTAGAAAAGGTATACGAACAAACCAGCAAGTCCGCTAATGAGCTCAGGGGCACCTGGAGACTATCTGCTATTTCTTTACCAATTATTCCCACTCATTTTTAATTTTTAACCCTTAAATCCAATGATTTCCAAATTTCTATAATTTTAACCAATGC